ATTATATTTTTAATAACAAAAACCTATTAATATAATGAGTTATATATTAGAACTTAGAAACATATTAATTAAATTTTGATATTTCTAAGGCTCGAACCTCCACCCTCATTTGACCAAAAAGCAGCACACCACTGGAACTCTCGCCAAGAAATTGCTAAAAGTAGCACAACATTATAGTTATTGATATCTAATTGAACTGATAGTTTTAATGGTTCAACTAGTCAAATCAAGACCCAGAGGTCAAAACGATTTCACTTCCGGGTTGGTTTTCAAAACATTGGTTGAAACAAATACACAAACTAATTTGGCTACCAAAATGATGAAAAACAACTTAAATCTATTAGGAATTGTGCTAAAAACCAAAATCTATAAACTAAAGTGAGCAATCATTGACAAATTAGAAGTTTGAAAATTTGTCAAGTTGTGTGTAAGGCTGGCTATATGTTGAATGATCAAAAATTTTTCTTTTGTTTTCCTTTTCCTTGCCTGCAACTTTTCACTCCATGCAATTACTCGAACATGGGCAGTTTCTTGAAAAAGTTGGATATTTGAACAGTTGATTTAGTTAGAATTCCATCCAGATTTTGTCACATGTACCATTATCAACCAATTCACATCCTTAACTGAAACAAACTCCTAAAAACTAACTAAAACAATCCCAATGTGACTCAAATAGACAACCAAAAGATAAAATCTCTTTTTTTTTCAGCTCTTTCTACCCTATGTGGCACTTGATTTGTTACGGGACCTAGAATTGCATATCTTATATAACTAAATCACCTCCATTCATTAAAAATATTTGACATGTGGCATGATTTTAAAATTTTGCAATTTACGATGTAAACTCTAGATTTGAAAACTAATTATATATTTTAGTGTGTGTGCGTGTATATAGGAAAAATGCATGTAAGTTCCAACTCTTAAAAAAATGGGAGTCATAATCTTAAATTACGTCATTTTATTTAATTAAAACTTAATTTGAAATTTAAAATTTTATATTATTAAATATTGATATTTATATTTAGAATCTAATTGGATTTTTGAATTTTGAATTGAGATTTTAGTTTCCAAATATAAGTTAAAACTCTTGTTTTTTTTTTTTTTAAGTTGAGACTAATGCGCACTAATCCCATATATATATATATATAATGCACTAACCTCATATATATATATATATATA